AGGACTGTATTTTGATACACAACTGCATTCGTTTTTACACCTTTCTCACAAAAATGTACCTCTGTTAAGCCCCAATAAGAAACTCCCAACCATACCATGAGCGAGGATGGAAAATGACCTCGTTGGACACGCGGAATACGGTTGCTCGCTTCTTCACTACTGTGTGCGTACACCTTATCATTTTGTTTGTTGTAGCTCTCTTCTACGGTAAAAATTTTTTCATCCGAAAAAAGAATTTCCCGATATTTTTTTCCCGCGTACCGCTTCAACAAAGCGCGGCATCTCTTCAGTCTCAGGTCCATTAGACGAGCATTCAAACGATGTCCTGTTTTTCTTCGATATGCCCGAAGCCCTAAGTCTTCATTTAACACCCTTTTCACCGTGGTTCTGCTTAACCCCATCTGAAGGGCCAACAGTTTCTGCTTACGTTTGGGATTTCTTTGAATTCGCGCCTTCACAGCTTTTATCACTGCTGGAGCCCTAACAGACCGAGGGCGACCACTTCTTGACCTACACTAGAGTCTTCATTGTATCGTTTGATGGTACGATAAACGAATCTTTTGGTTGTATTCAAATTTTTCAGTATGTTAAAAATTTGAATTGGTGCGTAACTGCAACGATGCAACGCAATAACTGCAACACGGTCTTCTTTAAGTGTCCACTCCATATTTAAAAATGAGTAAAATTCTAAATGTATACTATTTTTATTTTCATGAACAATTCGAAATTCGACTTCAATAAACTTTTTTGTGGCCAGCATTCTAAAAGAAAAGTTTTTACTGTGTGACAATACTTATGACCTGACTAGGTATATATGACTAGCGACCCGCCCTCGCTTCGCATCGGAAACTGTAATTTATTATTAATTTCTCCACTATTTAATGGATGTTATTATATATATAAACCTCCCTCTTCAATCGCTCTATCTATTAAAAAAAACCGCATCAAAATCCGTTGCTTAGTTTTAAAGATTTAAGCATACATAGGGACAGAGAAAACGACTTTGTTTTATACTATGTAGTAATTCATAAAATATTCACAAAATATCACTGATTAATTCGATTTATTTATTATTTAACTAGCGGTCAGCTCCGGCTCCGCTCGGGTCTTTAACAAAAATTTCACCAATATTTGACGTTGTTTTATTTTTTTAAATAAAAGAACACTTATTGCGACATAACTATAATAGTTAGACATAATATGCTGTCGCGACACTTTTTGTAAATCATAATGTGTTCTACAAAGTCGTATTACATTATTTTATTCTATCATCAATAGTTTTCGTACGGCACGCGATGTAAAGAATATTTTAGGTAATTTTTTTACACCTTGGGTTACATTATTAGAGTTTTAGTAGAGATCCCTTATTTTTTTATAAAAAAAGATTATATATAGAAAGAATTTTTCAAATTGGTTCAGTAGTATCGGAGCCTATTTAAAACAAACAAACAAATCTTTCCTCTTTATAATATTAGTATAGAAGTATAGATTTAATAAGGGTGACTTAAGCAGTTTGTGTTACCGCAATGGCCAAAGCTCAGTTTATGTTGCTGTGTGGAGCACAAATGAAAGCCCACATACTTTCGGCACTAACATAGTCCTTGACTGCTGCCCTTCCCTCGGTATCAGTATCCCCACTCTACACGCTCTGTAACTCATAATCCTCTAGTCCTCATCTAAAGATCACACTATTTATTATAATTGTCAATGAGTGTTGTTCAATCTGTTTTACATCTATTTGAAAACATGAGTTGCAAATTATCAACAAAATGTTTGATAGGCTTGCCAGTATATTGAAACTATTAAAATTTGATAACATGATGATTAATTGATGGTCTGTCATTAGTAGTAATTAAATATAGAATTGAAGGTTATTTAATTTTATTATGCTGCATTCCCTCCGAGTACATAGAGTAATTATATAAAATACAGAATATACCAACCACTATTAAAATAACTAAGAAATTAACTATTATATTATTATTTAAGTTTACTCCAGTCTTTTGCATTAGCCTTTCTGCTTATTCGAGTTTATGAATTTATTATTATTTCTATTGTTTCACATACTTTAGTTTTCACATCAAAGGTTACTGTTAGAGGCAAGATTAAACCATAAAAGTTCAGAGATTAAAACCATTAATTACAATTAAAGCCTATAATTTAACTGGAGTATCCACTTACTTTCATATTTTAGTTTTATATCCTTTCCAGTTTTTTTCCTAAGTAGATGGGCTGGTTGCCAGATTAGGTCAATAGCCTATACTGTGACTGGTTGTGAAATCAAGTTTTTTTGTCATGTCATATATTAATAAATAGTTGATGACTAAGTTTCTTTCATATTCCAGTTATTAACAGAGATAATTCATTTTCATATTTATCAGTTTGGTACGAAGCTTGCACTATAACTTTTTTGTTATGCTTGGATTAATTAAATAAATTTTGGCAAGGCTAAGTAGAGATATTTTTAGTATTTGGTCACATGAAACATATGATAGTTTTATTGAAATTTAAATTAATGAAAAATAATAGATTTTTAGTTTATCAAAGCTTTGATTATTATAGTATTCTGACCATAAAGCTAGAAATAGATGAAAAAAATACTCCTAAGAGACTAAAATGACGGAACATCTATCTACAACTGTCTGTGTTATTTTTAAATTAGGTCTCGCCTCCCGATATTTTTGTAATCTAACAATGAAAGTGCTTCAAATTTTGCAAACAATAGCTCACACGTAGGTCACTTCACTGTCTGCTCATTTTATTCTGAACTGTTCAATCCAAATTTATCACATCTGGTTCGTACTAAAAATAGCTCAGTATTTACCCTGGAAATTGATAAGTGCAGTGATTTACTTTATGAAGATTTGTGTAATAGTCACCTGAGTACGTAGATGTAAACAAAAATTCTGAACGGGTGCACAGAATCGCAAAAACCAAGCAACAGGTGAAATTGGTTTTCCAAAACCGGTTCACGCTGTTCTTCGCAAATTTTTATCTAGTTAATATCTTGAATAGCGCTTTAAATCGCTGAGAATGAGCTTGCCGAGTTCATTTAGTTTTTAATACCTAAACCAATATTCATGGGCTATTATATCACCTGAATAAAAGCACTTAAATAATAATATTTAAATACCTTTTCCTTAGCTCGTCCTGCATGTTTTTGCACTGTTTTCGCGATTAACGCACCTTTACTTTCAGCCATTTCAATCACTTTTTCATTACCAAATGTCTAAATCACGATACACCATCAATCTGCAACCGAATTTGGTTACAGTACAGCTGGTTGCTGTCACACGTCAAATTCCAAATGCGTGCTTTCGCCGTTTTCGGCACTCGTGAATGAGAGAAATTTATCACCCCAGCGCCGCGGCCTAAGCCATTTCCTTTAAAATGCGAGGAGACAGTTACACGTTTCATTCACAGATGGCAGATGTGTGCTATATGCTTTTCCAAACAATTTTTGTATTTTATATTTATGCTTTTTAATTTTTTTTATGTCCTTAATCTCTTTATGTATGTATTATATGTTTTTTTAAATTTATTTGAAAAAAATCAAATTTGTGAGCATGAAAATAGATTGTAACATCGGGTTGAATGGAGCCGCCATCTATTAATATAAATTTTATGAAATCGTATGAACAAGGTAACTACACTTAATAATAGCTAGATGTCGTTGAACAATTTAGTTTTTGATTGAGTTCTAAATATTATGTGGTTAATCTGTGGTTACGGGAGGTATTATCTGTGAATATTCTATGAACTAGTGCAGTGATTCCAGGTAATATGAATTCAGCTGCTAGAAGTTTTACTCTACAAAACTTGCATATGCCCCGTCATGACGTATGCAAGCGTAGTGTTCGCTCACGTAGCCCGCACCCACTTGAAATCCCTTCAGGTTATTCAATCCCGATTCTGCAGGATAGCCGTCGGAGCACCATGGTTCCTGAGGAACGTGGATCTCTACGATGACCTGGAGCTCGATTCAGTTAGTAAGTATCTACAGTCGGCATCGCTGCACCATTTTGAGAAGGCGGCACGACATGAGAACCTTCTCATCGTGGCCGCTGGAAACTACATACATACCGGACCCAGTAGACCGAATGGTAATCCGTCGACGTCGCCCAAAGCACGTCATTATGGATCCTCCTGATCCATTCACGGTGCTTTTAGGCACCACAAGCACCGGTCACCGTCCTCTTCGAACCCGTCGCTTGCGACGAAGGGCTCGACGAGCGAATTAACCCATAGACACAGCCCACTGAGTTTCTCGTCGAATCTTCTCAGTGGGTCGCGTTTCCGATCCAGTGGTAGATTCTGCGTAGCACGGCTATTGCTAGGGTTCGTGTTAGCAACGTCGTCAGGTTTGAGCCCCGTGAGCCCCATTACGTTGAAATAGCCTCTCAAGGCTTTCGGCTAGGTAGGAAAAAATAAATAAATTACAAGTTGTGCGATAATAAAAGAAGGTTACGAGATTAACTCAAATAATTCCTTCTCCTCTATTAAACCTAGATGCTTAAAAGGATCTGTAAGTTAGGATTTATCTTTTTCTGCATTGAGTCAAAAGGAAGCTGTTTCTTGGTAACCAGCCGGGGCGGCGCTAGGAGGAGTTTCCAAAGGATTTATTTATTCTTTCTTACAAGTTCAAAACTTTATTAAAGTGTGAACTATTAATAATAAGATTATTAAAAGTAACAAATACAGCTTAGCGCTGATAAAGTGTTATCTCGGGTTTTCCATAAAATGCTTTGAAATCGGTCCAAGAATCCCATTGAATGTTCTTTGAATTTAAATGGCAGGAGCTTATCAGTGAACATTTATTGCTTTACTGAGATTTTTTCTAACCCATTATTATAAAATATTAGGTATAGGTATGGGCTACGTTACCTTTGCTTGTCAAATTAATAGATCAAAACGGAACAGAAACTAGCGTCAAAATTAAAATTTGAATTGAAAAATATTTCGACTATCGTAGCCATAAACAGGCACAAACATTTTATAATTTTATTTTGCATTGCGGCTTACTTGGACATTTATAAAGACTCAACACTGGCAAAAATACAAACTGTAAATGCTATTATTGAAAAAAACGAGAATATTAACACTTTTACAATTTTTTGAAAAAACATTATTTTTCCTTGAAAACAAAGTCACTACGGTACTCAAACATTTATAATAAACAAAGTCACTACAAACTCTATTAAACATTACAATGGTGTGTATAATTTTTTAATCAGTTCGTCGTTCTAGACTGGTTTAATGAATTTACTTAAAAATAGCATTAATTGATAATCGCGTTTTTTATTAGGAAGCAAAGAACGAATTACAAAAGAATGCGATTGCTGAAGCTCGCCGAACAGAGTTGGAGACTTTCCAGAGAGCTCTAGACATGCATTGGCTGAACAGTCGGATGGATGACGGTAGGATGGGTCGGTGCTTGGCTCTCATACAACGAGAAGCAGAGATGGAAAAACAATTTCAAGAGGTTCTGTATTTTTCAGTCTCGTAAAAATTTCGTTAATAAGATATCATGTTACTAAGTCTCCCGTAGACCGTCAGAATAATACTCGAAACAGATGTAAAAAATGTGATGTAATTAACTGGTCAGAAATGTATATACTATATAATGTTATACTATGCTCCTACTTTTGTCTCTTCGAGAATCTTAGAAATTCTTGACTTGATAAGAAAGAATGAGTTTTAATGTAGCATTAAAAATATGACAAATTATTAATTCTCAGTTGCTATCCGATTCTGATTTGGTAATTAATATTAGTTGTAGTTTAATATTTAGCATATAAAGTTTAGCATTTATGAGAAATAAATAATTTACTTGAAACATTAATTTGAAATTGATAAGCCATTTGTAAATTGAAATATGGAGGCTTCATTTTACTTATAATGTCTCTTGTAACAAAAATTTTAAAGATGAATTCTAACATTTGTACTAATTTATGTTGTGAGCTTCTAAAACTATGTTGGCCCAGAGTTCTGTTGATAAGATGAAAAAAACAAAATTAATTTTTTCAATAGAGAACAGACCATGCAGCCATTGTGAATGCACAAGCAGAGAAAGAGACGAAACTGGCAATTGAAGTAGCCAAGCTTCGTAGGCAGGAGATGTGCGAGTTGCTCCGTCGCCATTACCTCAGGGAACGAGACCCAAGCTTGAGGAACTTGATGCAGAAATTACAAGCTGGTTATGTGTGCAGGGATTTGCAGCAACAAATATTACATAATCAGTATAGGAAACTACAGGAAGAGGTAAGTGATATAAAATAATGTGGAGATTAATTAAGGTATTAGGAAGGAATTTACAGGTACAGGACTATGCTATGAATCAAAGTATGGCTATGAGGTTCAACCTACCTAAACTGTACTATTCCCTCTATTTTCTAGCTTGAATTCTAGGGGCTTTAGATGGAATTATTCCTGGTCATCAGCTTTTTTGGTATATATAGCTGATGATACAGGTAGCTGTTATATTAAGGCAGTTATCGCTTGGATCAAATGCCTCAAGGTGGGCAACCGATTATGAAATCTTCTAGTTACAAGTGGGACGTGAGTACTTCAAAGTCATTAAAAAAGAATATATAATAATGAAAACGTTTGGCCAAATTTCATGGTGGCTCACATCTTAATGGTTAAGATATCATGTTGTGATAACTTATTGTCAATTTGTCAATGTTTTGTATTGATGATCACTTTGTTGGTGCAACCAAATAAATAAATAAATAACACTTTTTATTTCCATTTAAATTTAAAAGATTGTGCTTAATTCTACTGAATTCAGATTATTCTTGTATTCTTATGTTTAGCATAACATTCAATATTCCTTAATGTGTATTGACTGATGGTGATCAAATTAATTCATGAGAACACCAAAATTTTTCAGACTGAAGAGAAACGGGCAAATGATGTACTCAAAAATACATTGTATAATGACAAAGACGCATTAGATAGAGAAGAAAGAGAGAAGATGGAACGTAATGATGAATATTGCAGGGATCTGCAGCAACAATTAGTTAACAGACAAAAACAGAAGCAGTGCGCTTATGAGGATACACTGATTGAGAAGAAAATGCTTGAAGAAGTTATGCGGACAATCGCCGATGAGGATCACAGGTGAAAATCATATTTAAAAAAAATCCCAAAAATAAAAAGCTAAAAAGTAAGCTTGAAGCTAGTTTGAGCCAAACTGAAATTCTTAAAGGTTTTTTTTTTATAAAGTTGATTGCAGTTATTAGACGAAAGTTAATAAAATTATTCAATTTAAAACTACTTTTACAGCTAAATCTCGCGTTTTTTAGTATCATATTAAATTTGATATTATGAATATTTTACAGTTTTCACGGTCATTGGTTCTCAATACATGAGCAAATTTTATACAGTCTCAAAGTTTGTATGTGAGATTTCATTCGAATCTAGTGCTAAAAATAGCTAATATTATTATTTATTTACTTAGAATCACCAATAAAAGTGCTTGAGAAATAGTAAATATCACTATTATGTTATTATACTGTATGTTATTTACTTGAATTGTTTGTCACTCTTAGTGTCTTACATCCATAATATTGCAGAGAATTGAAGAAGAAACTTATTGAGCGTGAGAAAGTCCGCAACGAGATGGTTACGTTCAAGCGTGCCCGGGACGCGTGGAAGGAGAAACAGAAGCAGATGCTCGTGATCGAGGAGCGGCAGCTGGAGGCGCAGCGACGCGCCGCCGCCGACCGGACCTCCGCCGTGTACGTAACACTTCACATTAAACGTCGTCGTCGTTCTTGAAGTCGTCGTGGCCTAAAGGATAAGACGTCCGGTGCATTCGTATGTAGCGATGCACCGGTGTTCGAATCCCAGGCGGGTACCAATTTCTCTAATGAAATACGTACTCAACAAATGTTCACGATTGACTTCCACGGTGAAGGAATAACATCGTATGATAAAAATCAAACCCGCAAAATTAAAATTTGCGTAATTACTGGTGGTAGGACCTGTTGTGAGTCCGCACGGGTGGGTACCACCAATCCGCCCATTTCTGCCGTGAAGCAGTAAGGCGTTTCGGTTTGAAGGGTGGGGTAGCCGTTGTAACTATACTGAGACCTTAGAACTTATATCTCAAGGTGGGTGGCGCATTTACATTGTAGACGTCTATGAGCTCCAGTAACCAATTAACACCAGGTGGACTGTGAGCTCGTCCACTCATCTAAGCAATAAAAAAAAAAAAAAAACTAGCAATGAAATTATTGCTATTGTTACCCACTGGGGTTCGGGATAAATAAAACATCTACCGAATTACAATTTGAAATCTGTATTCAACACTTCACAAACACTAAAACACTCAATTCGCTTCAGGTGATCCGTTCGGTACTTCGCTTCGAATAGTTCCGATTACTGACTGACTGCGTGCCATCTCTAAAACGTTTTTATAGCCGATACCCCATCCCTAGAATTAACGACAATGTTCCACACCTCTCTAGTAGTAGTTTTCGCTATCTGACAATAGATGGCGTTGAACCTTTCGAGCGTCCTAGGTGCTTCTAGATCCATTGACATTCGTTCGACTATTCGGCGATAGATGGCATTACTCTTACCGGCGTAACACTATCATTGCCATTTTGTAGCTAAACGTAATCTCTTGTAGACAACTGATAATGAAAGCAAGATAGGTAGGTAGGCAACTGGTCGGCAGCGGCTTGGCTTTGCCCCTGGCATTGCTGACGTCCATGAGCGACGGCGACCACTTACCATCAGGTGGGCCGTATGATCGTCCGCCTACAAAGGCAATAAAAATATATATAATTACAGCCTGTGTGGCGCATGTAGTGTGAGGCAGCACGGACGAGCATCATTGTTCTACCTATTCACGTTCACCTGATGTGAAGTGTTTATCAGAGCCAATAGACACTGTTATACTCATTATCTGTTTGAAAGATAATACTTAAGTTTCAATATTCAGTTCAGATGATGGTGGTGAGATAAATTACTATTGAAGGATCTTTGAACGAAGAACACGTAATATACAGCCAAATGAAGTGGTTCGTCGTCTTTTCTTTGTCGGTATATAAATTATATTATGCATGTGGTGGTCGACCATTTTTGTTTCACTAAAAGATGATTTATTTCTTTTTAAGGGTATATAATATATATTTTTATTTTGTGTTTCAGTATCGCAGAGAGGGAACGCCAAATACGTGCCAAAGAGGAATTGAACGAGAAAATCGCTTCGAAGATATTGGCGGATGAGGTGATTTTGTTTACTGTTCACATTAGAGATACCTAACACAACAATGAATGGCTGTAGTGTAACTCATGTACTGCGACACTGAGTTTGCATACTTTGCAAGAAGTAACCATTACTCACGTGTGCTATTTTGCATTTGGCATGGACTCTGCTTTGCTAAGGAGTAGTGTATAACCACCTGCCCTCTACATGTGCTTAGTTAACGAGTTTATGGTGCACCCGGTGTGAAGTGGGTATGTGAGCCCAGAGACATTGCGGGGTGAACGCTGCCCACCTTGAGATAAGAGTTTTGAAGTCTCAGTTTTCCAGTACAATGGCTGCCCCACTCTTGAAACCGATACAAATTGTTGCTTCACGTCAGAAATAGGCAAGGCGATTGTACAAGACGTCCCACTACCTGTAAAATAGCTACCCACCCATCCAGCTAAATTGTGAAGCTTCTTCGTCGCTTTCTCCATTGCTGAAGGTCGTGTCCCTGAAACTTGACCGTTGCCTGTCTCGTGAGCTGTTTCCATCTCGTCCGGTCCTCAGCTGCTCGAATGGCGGTTGCGACTGGCAACCCAGTTAGAGCGGTTTCTTGATTACACCAACGGCTAGTTAATCGGCCGCGGGGTCTCTTTCCTTCTATTTTGCCCGTCACAATCACTTTGTCCAAGTTATCTGACTGTCGACGGGCAATATGACCGAAGTAGCTGAGGATCCTCTTGTAACAGATTGTTGAGAGCCTGATTCGGATGCGAAGCTGATCCAGGATAGATTTATTTGTCCTCTTGGTCGTCCACGGAATTCGGAGCATTCGTCTCCAGCACCACATTTCAAATGCGTTTATTTTCTTGCGCGTTGGATGCCTTAATTGTCCAGGACTCTGCCCCGTAGAGAATGATTGAGAAAACTAAGGTTCGGACGAGTCTCATTTTCGTGACTTTAGAGACTTTGCGATTTTGCCATATTCGTTTAAGCTTGGTCATCGGTGTTTTGGCCATCTGCGCCCTCCTCCTTATCTCTCCTTCACTGCCCCCGCGGTCGGTCAGTAATAATTTAATTGAAGTAAAAATTTCAAAGTCTACAACTTTCCTATTTACTTGAAAAGTAATTCGCTAGTAATCCAAAAGTGCGACCGATCCCTTTGTTTTAATGACACCCTTATGTGAACATACACCGGTGGACTTTTTGGCGGGATCGCGAGGAGTGAAGTTGTGTGATTTGTTTTATTTTGTCTATTTAGTATTTCTTCAGGTTTAAATGTGTAATAACGGTGGTTTATTAACTGTTTAATATCTGTGAAAGTGCACAAATGTGGGGAAATGAAACAAAGCCGCTGGACCTAACATCTCGGGATCTTCCAAAAAGTCCACTGAAAATTTTTCAGTAAATGGCCACCATTTTACTGAGATTATATTTCATCCCATATCATCTCATTTCATTACTCCATATTTTTTTTTTTTTTATTGCCTTTGTAGGCAGACGAGCATACGGCCCACCTGATGGTAAGTGGTCACCGTCGCTCATGGACGTCAGCAATGCCAGGGGCAGAGCCAAGCCGCTGCCTACCATAAAGAACTCTCCGCAAGCCTCGTTTGAAGAAGGACATGTCATAGCGCTCGGAAAACACCGTCGAGGGGATTCATTCCAAAGCCGGATGGTACGTGGCAAAAAAGATCTTTGGAAACGCACTGTCGATGAACGCAGCGGTTCCAGATAATATGGATGAACTCTGCTCCGATGGCGGGAGGTGCGATGATAAAAAGGAGATGAGGGAATCATCTCAAATAATTCCTCAGAGCATTCCCCATGGACCATGCGGTATAAAACACAGAGAGAACCGAAGTCCCTCCGTAGACCCAGAGGTTCCAAGCGATCCGCGAGAGCAGGACTATCGACCATCCGAACAGCCCGTTTCTGTATGGAGTCAAATGGAAGTAGCTGGTATTTGGGAGCCCCGGCCCAGAGGTGAGAGCAGTACTCCACGCGAGGTCGGACCTGCGCTTTATAAAGCGCAAGTCTCTGTCCAGGCGTGAAATACCGCTTCGCTCTGTTGAGAACTCCCAACATTTTAGAGGCCAATTTGGCTTTACCTTCCAAATGACTCCGAAACTGGACATCGCTCGAAATATCGACCCCCAGAATCCCGATACTCGCGGAAAGCTGCAGGGATACTCCTTGAAATTCCGGCGCCATGACAAAAGGGTCCTTCTTCGCAGTGAACGCGCAAACCTGTGTCTTCAATGGGTTGAACTGAACTGAATTCAGTTCACCCCACTTGGAGACCCGCCCCAGAGAGTTCTCCACTTCAGACACAAGTTTTAATCGCCTCTCGTGTACAACGCTTCGAGAGAGACTCTGATGGCCGATATATCGCGCATCCCCCGTGCTGTCATCCGCATAGCAATGCATGCCATCAATAGATAGCATGTCATTGATATGCAGTATGAAAAGCGTGGGGGAGAGCACCGAACCTTGTGGAACACCAGCGTTGATGGTCATGGTATCGGAGCAGCAGCCGTCGACGACAACTGCGATGCTCCGTCCATCCAAAAAGCTAGCGATCCACTTGCAGAGTCCCTCAGGGATCCCGTATGCTGGAAGCTTCGATAGAAGTGCCCTATGCCAGACCCTGTCGAAGGCCTTCGCGATGTCAAGGCTCACAGCGAGAGCCTCGCCCTTGCTTTCCAAGGCTTCAGCCCATTTATGTGTGAGGTATACAAGAAGATCGCCAGCTGAGCGACCATGACGGAAACCGTACTGCCGGTCACTGATCAGCTGGCGATCCTCAAGATACTTAAGAAGTTGGATGTTTATGATTCGCTCCATCACCTTGGAAAGCAAGGAAGTTATCGCGATAGGTCTGTAATTCGAGGGGTCCGACCGGTCACCCTTCTTGGGGATAGGGTGGACATGAGCAGTCTTCCATGAAGACGGAACCCTGTTGGTATTGTACGAGAGGCGATATAGACGCGTTAGCGCGGGTGTCAATTCAGGGGCGCATGTTTTTAGAACCACTGCGGGGATGCAATCTGGCCCACTCGACTTATGGACATCAAGAAGCCGAAGCTCCTGCCTGACCGCACGCTGTGTGATGCGAATCTCAGGCATGGAGCTGTCACACCGGGAGATGTTGGGCGGCGTGGCTCCTCCGTCATCCAAAGTCGAGTATGAGGCAAAGAGCTTGACCAGAAGGTCAGCCTTCTCCTTCGCACTATGAGCCAGACTGTCATTGGACTTACGCAGTGGTGGAAGGCTAGACCTGCAGAAGTTACCTTCTGCAGCCTTAGCTAGCGACCAGAAAGCACGGCTCCCAGAGGGATAGCTATTCAGTCGCTCGCCAATTCTGGCAACGTGCTCCGACTTCGCCTTGGCAATAGCCCTCTTATAGGACCTAGAGGCGGCGTTAAATTTCCGCCTTTTCTCCGAGATATCAGGATCCCGGCATCTCCTAGCAACATTAAATGCCACGTATGCAGACCGCTTGAGGCGTGCAGCATCCCTACTGGCTTTATTATACCAGGGTTTGCTGCGACCCCCAACGGGCACCTCAGAAGAAGGAATGAATAATTCCATTCCCTGAAGCACCACGTCTTTAAGTCGGTCCGCACAGACGTCAGGATCATCGGAGGAAAAGCAGAGCCGCCCCCATGGGTAGGATGCGTAAAATTCACGCATTCCATCCCAGTCTGCTGACCTGTACCGCCAAACTCTTCGAAACCCGGTCGTCGTTCGACGACTAGGACGAGAGAGTGGTATGGCAGCACGGATAAGGCAGTGATCAGACGATCCAAGTGGAGCGTCGACCACCACACTGTATCCAGCTGGGTGAGTGGTCAGCAGAAGGTCCAACAAAGAAGGCTCGTGCCCCTCAATGTCTGGGACACGGGTGGGCTGTGTCACCAGTTGTGAGAGGCCGTAGGACAAGGCGAAATCGTAGGCAGCCCGACCCGGGAGGTCAGTGGTTCTGGACCCCAACCACTCCTGGTGATGAGCGTTAAAGTCACCAAGGACCACCACCTCCGCAGATGGGTACTGCTCAAGCACGCGGTCAGTCCCCTCTTGTACATGCTCAAACAGAGCTGACCCCGCATCACTGCTGTGAGACCTGTACAGGCAAGCGTAGACTCTGGTACAGCCCCCATAGTCCACGCGTAGCCACAAGAGGGACAGGTCCCGTTGCTCGAGGCCCCGAAGCCGACGACAGCAGACATCCTCCCGGATAAACACGCACACCCCGGCTTTACGCAGGAAGGTGTGCTCCAATGCGTAGCCGGGGTATCCGAGGTACGACGTATCGTCCGGGGCAGATATCTGCGTCTCAGTCAGGAAAAAGAGGGCAGGCTGCGCCGTCTCAAGGTGGTGATGTACGGCGTCAAGGTTACTGTGTAGGCCCCTGACATTGCTGAAATCCACATTAAACGTGGAATGGGGATCCGCCGAAAAAACTCTTTTTCTTTTGTCGACTTTCATGATAATTTTAGTTGGAGAGTAAGGATTTGGAGAGGTAGGATGCTAGAGGTGAGATCAAGGCAATACCTGAATAAAGCGCAGGGCACAATGAACACTCGATCCGGGGTTGCGCGAGAAGCTGACGCAGGGCATGGAAGGGCCCCCAGTCCACCCTGCATACGATCGCCGGGATCCACTCCGGTCTCCGACTCCGGCACGACGACCGCATGACAGGATTTTACACCGGTTGGCGGGACAGCTTCCTGGGGCGGAGTTTAGTTGTGACACCCAGGTTCAGGTCCCCTACTGACCGGCGGGCGGCGGCAGGCACCGTTTCACTGGGTCTCCCTATACCCCCGTCAGCAACCCACGCCCCGCGGACTTGCGCGCACGTTTGCTCTGCATGTTCCAAGTATCACCAAGACTCACCCCCAACAAGGAGGAGGAAAGGAAAGGAATAGAACTGGCTCTCCAACCCACATGCCGGAACACAGCTAGGCTATTTGGCGGCAGACTCTAGTTGGAGGGTGGTCGCCAGCCAGTCGGACTAGGTCCTACCACCGATTGTGTTTTCGGCTCCCGTTTAGCACCACCCAGGGGTTACTTGTAGGGAATCGCGGGTTAAACCTACGGAAGCGGGAAGCATCAACCCCCAAAATTTTTCATAAAAATAAGAATATAAATTAAAATATAAGACATGACTTAAAGGTCTTAGTTACCAGGTCATAAAATTACTTAAAAAAAACTTACAGCAGTTTATATTTCCCAGGCCGCACGACGAGAACGCGAGGACGTGATCAAACAGCTTCAGGAGCAGGAATATTTAGAGAAGAACGTTTTGGACGCGGCGGGCGACGCGGAGCGCGCACTGCACGCCGCCGCCGCCACGCAGCGCGCGCTCTCCCGCCAGGTGGAGCTGCGGGCGGCGGCGGCGCGGGGGGAGAGGCAGCGGGAGGCAGAGTTCAGGAAGGGGGTTAGTGCTGCTCGCTACACGACTCATGTACCATGACATGGGGTAAATTGGGATTCTGGGGTAAATTGGGACAAACCTGCGGAAGACTCTCAAAGTACTTGTAGCACGGAATCTACCTAATTTTCTTTAAGGTAATATTTATCAATGTATAGAAGAAAAACCAAGTTAACTATGGAAGTACTAAACATGAGGTAAGTTGGTCCCAAAAATTCGTCAAATTAAATTTAAAATAGTGGTTGAAAAGTGCGTTTTAAAACAGCTTAAAGAACTTTTAAAAAAAGTAATATTATCGTTGTTTTTTCAATAAGATCACAGTTTATATAAGTTTTTAATACAGCTGGAAATACCACAACAAACGGTAAGTTGCAATATTCTTATTTTAAATACAATTTTTCGACAAAATAAAAAATGTATATTTTTTCCTTTCTTTTTGGGGAAAATTGGGACGTATGTAGGGTAATTGGGAACGAGACTGGAAAAATTAGGGACGAGAAAACACAAAATTGGAACGCCAAAAGACAAAATAGGGATGGCTTGTTAGGGTTGTCACTGATATCTTATAATAGATTTTTTAGCCTATACTATCACTTAATNCCTTTCTTTTTGGGGAAAATTGGGACGTATGTAGGGTAATTGGGAACGAGACTGGAAAAATTAGGGACGAGAAAACACAAAATTGGAACGCCAAAAGACAAAATAGGGATGGCTTGTTAGGGTTGTCACTGATATCTTATAATAGATTTTTTAGCCTATACTATCACTTAATTGCGTGATGTAAAGAAGGTTAATGTGTTTATCACTTAGTTTATGTAAGTATTATAGGTAAAAGAAAAGTATATATAATTACTTTTTTTCGCGACATTTACCTTGTAATATCTGCCCGGTCGTATGTTCTTTATAGCAATAAAAAAAATTCAAAGTTAAAAGAACTCAAACGAATCAAAACTTTTGTTATTTCAGAATCTATTCACGCGTCGAATCATGATTTTGTTAACATTCACAACGCACACACAAATAAAAACAGGCCTCAGATTTTAAATGTAACATTAATTAAAAATCCGAGATATCCAATTATGAGTGAGTGAATTAATTGGGTTTAGTTATTTAGCTTAGAAATAATTTCTTTTATTTTTGTTATTATTGGCAGTAATCAGATAAAGCTGTTTTTTTATCTTATTCACCTGATATCTTACTCTTGCTCAAAGATTATTTTGAAAATGTTGATTAAATAAAATTGTATTATTGCATTTCCAGTCCTTTTGTTTTCTATTTTTTATTCTATTTTATGATTTTGTTTCAGAGTCGTGATTTTTAAGGAAATTAAATAATAATTTTCTAAAATATAACATGCACATACTTTTTTTGATCATTGTATTGTTGATTATCATTCACGCCACTTCGCTTCGGAATAGAAACCAGCTTAATTTACACTATGTTGTGTATTGTGCTTAAATTATGGATTGTATTCATCATTTCGGTCCATAATAATAATTATATGGCACCTACCTATATATCGCAGTACTGCGAGTTGACAACCCTTACAAATATCCCAATTTAACCCTTAACCGTGTCAATTTACCCCAGACGCTGGGTAAATTGGGACGGCCATTATTTTACCGATTATTTCTTTAAAATAAATAATTAAAATAATGTAACGGTTTTTATCACCTAGGTACGTTCAAGACTCAACTTATTTCTTTGGTTGAGCAGTGACTATTTAATTGGAACTATTTTAAAATTCAATCTGAAGGTCGATTTTGTCCCTATTTACCCCATTGTACGGTATTCAGCTTACAGACTTGTGAGCGAGCGGATCAGAGATTGGAATTACTGGGATAGATTTTCTTCTTCGTTATGTTTTGGCTCCGGCACGGTTTGTGCATTGGCCAGTGTCAATAATATTGTTATAATTCGTTTTTTTAATTATTTACAGTTTATGAATTTTGTACCGTATGTTCCATGGGGAGTGCTTTGAGGAATTGTTTGAGATGATCCCCTCTCTCTCCTTTTTATCATCACACCTCCCGCCATCGGAGCAGAGTTCATCCATATTATCTGGAACCGCGAGCATTCATCGATAGTGCGTTTCCAGAGGTCCTTTTTGCCATGTACCATCTGGGTATGAAATGAGCTCCCCTCCACGTTGCTTGCCATGTACCATCCGGCTATGGAATGAGCGCCCCTTCACGTTGCTTTCCGAGCGCTATGACATGTCCTTTTTCAAACGAGACTAATGGAGAGTATTAAGCGGTAGGCAGCGGCTTGGCTCTGCTCCTGGCATTGCTGAAGTCCATGGGGACGGTAACCACTCACCATCAGGTGGGCCGTATGCTCGTCTGTCTACAACAGCAATAAAAAAAAACAAAGAAAACTTTCCAGTTGATTTTTTGGAGGGTCCCTAGAACCTGCGTCCAGCGGCTTTGTTTCATTTTCCCACAATTGTGCACTTTCACAGATATAAAACAGTTATTAAACTACCGATATTACACATTTAAACCTGAAGAAACACTAAATAGACAACATAAAAAAAATCGCACGACTTCGCTCCTCGCTTTCCCGCCAAAAAGTCCCAAATCAAACAAGTAATTGTGACAATTAATGACAGTGACATTGTTGACATTTGAGGTTATGTTGCGTTCAGTAATATTTGTTAAAAAAAACCAATGCTGAAGTGACATAGTGTTGACGAGTGGCAACATCGATTGCTCAATCGATGTATTTCGCTTACCGAAAAAATACATAGACTATACTTTTCCCAAAGAAATGCCAAGTAAAGTATATTCGCGTACTTTATTGTTCACATAAAGTATAAAGAACACTTTTCAGAAATAATGTACAATCTTAAACTTTATCATAAAGTTCGGGTGGCAACCCTACCTGAAACTGGAATTCTATTAATATTACAACAGAATGAATCAAAAATGGCGGCTGAAGTACAGAAAGAGAAGGAGAAAGAAATGAAGAACAAAGAAAAAGCACGGCAATACTCCCAAGAATTACTAAAACAAATCGAAGAGAATTCTAGAAGGAGAAAACAAGAGAAGGAGCTGGAAGAAAGTAGAGCACAATATGTTTGGGACTGCGGCACATCTTGGTATGTACTTCTTAGGTATATATAACCCAGTTGACATACGAGGCAGACTTCCCAATGGAATTGAATTCAATCTTGTCTTAACCCTAATAGAGTTGCTGAGCTTTATCCAAATATTTTACAAAAATTGTTAAAAAATACAAAGATCATTGCAAATAATTTGAAATGGTTGTATTATATAAACTTAAGTAACTTATTAAAAACGTTAAAGATGTGTGCACGCTTAGATACGTCCCTATAGGTCGATACTGCGCAATAGTCGGTATTCCGACGCTCGGCACTTTACACGCATTAATAGATAGTCAATCTATCGACGTTTCGCGCTCTAACGATTAAAATAACACTATGATGTCCGTGGGTTTCAGTAACCTGCAGTAACCATCTCTGCCGTGAGAGTTCGTCTGTGTGTCCTCGTTTTATACTGATTGATATATAATAATTGTATTTGAAAAAGCCACGCTCGGTTAGGTTGGTGTGGATCGCCTGACTAGTTCACCACAGGATGAGAACTTGACTTCATAGATTATATGATTATCATTGTTCAATCAAAATATGAACATTAGAATTATATTGTAAATTATAATGGTAATACCTAAGTTCTAACTATGTTGCTAATTATATGATTTACGTTTGGCAACTCTCTCTTCCGTCCCAGCCTTATAGCCCCGTGCATGGCAAGTTGTAATTTGGATTAATAAAATTGAATATGCAATTTCGAAAAGTGCACATGTCGCATATTTTGTTAAATACATTTTTTCATATACATGTAGTTTTGAGGCTTCCCTACACCCATTTTATAATAATTCCAGTAATCTTTAATTGCTAATTAACACTAAAACATATCTCAAAAGTTAATATTTTAAATTTTACACTGCTTTAGAAAATAATCACTGTTTTGTCATTTCCTGAATATTTTACATTTTCAGAGATGTGCCCTTTTCGAAATTGCATATTCTATTATATTAAACGCAAATATTTATGAACTAAACCAAACCTGTATTTTATTTATACAATCATTTTAAAAAGTACATTAAATATTTTGCTTTTTAAGGCGCAAAGAAGTGAACGAAGAGCGTAAGAAGATTATCACAGAACACGCACCGCACCTGATCGGCTACCTCCAAGCGGGAGTCATCGCTAAGGAAGATCTGGCGGCCGTCCGGGAGGGCGCGGACCGGCACCAGCACTTGGCGCCCCTGGACATCGAGTCCATGGCGACGTCGAGGCGCCCGCACCGATACTCCAAATGCAACCAGCAGTGCAGGGTCTTGAGAGAATACTAATTAACTATACTAGATTGTTTACTGGTGGTAGGACCTTTGAGTGTCCACGCGGGTAGGTACCACCACCCCGCCCATTTCTGCCGTGGAGCATGCGTTTCGGTTTGAAGAGTGGGGCAGCCGTTGTAAATATACTTGAGAACTTAGAACTTATATCTCGAGGTGGGTGGCGCATTTACGTTGTAGATGTCTATGGGCTCCAGTAACCACTTAACACCAGGTGGGCTGTGAGCTCGTCCACCCATATAAGCAATAAAAAAAATTAGGATGGGATCGCGCAACCAATATTTAAATTATTTGTATTTGAATAAAAAAATTATAAAAATACTTAGTCATTTCAAAATGATATTTCTCTTCGTTTTCAAGACACCCTGTATATCGACATGAAAAATCTATTCAACTTTAAATTGTATCTTTGTTAATGAAATAACTTCTATTAAAAGGAAGCGTTTAGTATATTTTTAATAGTATGACTGAATTAATTACAAAAGACTGAATTGTTGTGGTAATATTTATAAATAAACATTGTTTTGAGATTTATAATGTGTTTTTTGTTTAATTATATTGTTCACAAGGGTAAAGAGTTATGTTCTTTGGCTCTGGTGTTTATTAAACCCACAGATAATATAACAAATGTCATTCGAGTTTAATTTTCCATGAAAATATATACCTAGTGTGGCAGTGTCAATTGAATATTTTCATTTTATTTTTACATAATATGGAGTTAACAATTACAAGGGCGGGATGATAAGTAACTAGCCTAATAATAAAACACTTAACTTTCGGTGATAATATTAATTTTATTTTTCGACCTAGTCTCCGTGAACCTCTACGCACTTATTCCATCTTCGTTCTAAAGCAGTAATGCCTTCCATAAAATAATTTCTTTCGAGGCCTGTAAAATACTCCTCTACAGCGGCTATGACTTCATCATTTGTGGCAAATTTCTGTTCGCCCAAAAAAGTTTTGAGCTTAGGGAATAAGTGGAATTCTGATAGCGCTATATCAGGCGAATAAGGTGGGTGGAGCAGCAAATCATACTTCAATTCGTTGATTTTTGCCATAGCTTTAACACACGTGTGACCCTAGGGTGGAAAATGTTTTTTTTTTTCGCCAAATCTGGTCGTTTTTACTGAATACATTGATGAAGATTATCTAGAAGATTAGTGTAGTATTCTCTGTTAATTGTTTGACCTTTAGGAAGGTAATCTATCATCAAGATCCCAACTGCATCCCAAAAGACGGAAGCCATGACTTATCCAGCCGACTTTACAGCCATGGCCTTTTTTGGAGCCGACCATCCCGATTGCGTCCACTGTTTTGATTGAATTTTTGATTCTGGCCTGTAATAATGAACCCATGTTTCATCTGCTGTTACAAATCGACGTAAAAAATCGGCTTTATTACTCTGAAACGGTCCAAACATTCTTTTGAGTTTTGCACCCGAATCCTTTTTTGATCGTGCCTAAGCAATCGCGGCACCCAACGGGCCGATGATTTTTTCATATTTAATTTCTCAGTTAGGATATGATGTACCCGGTCTTTTGAGATACCTGTAGTGTCAGCTATTTCAGATAACTTCAATCGTCGATCTGTTAAAACCATATCATGTACTTTCACGACCATTTCCGGTGTCGTGACGCTTTTTGGACGTCCGGGGTGGGCTTCATCTTGGACACATGTACGACCGCGTTTAAACTAATCCACCCAGTTTTTTACTGTGGCATATNGATGTACCCGGTCTTTTGAGATACCTGTAGTGTCAGCTATTTCAGATAACTTCAATCGTCGATCTGTTAAAACCATATCATGTACTTTCACGACCATTTCCGGTGTCGTGACGCTTTTTGGACGTCCGGGGTGGGCTTCATCTTGGACACATGTACGACCGCGTTTAAACTAATCCACCCAGTTTTTTACTGTGGCATATGAAGGAGCATATTTACCCGAAACATTCTTTAACTCGTCATAGATATCTTTCCCCTTCATGCCCTACATATGAAAAAACTTTATCACCGATCTTTGTTGAAATTTATCCATTTTGAAAACACTTGACGAAATATATTATCAAATGACAACAAATCAATAAAATTTTCACGCCACCAAATTGAAATTTAGAACACAGGTGGCCAGAGAGACGAATTTACAAATGACATATTTAATTTTTGAATTTAAACTTTTTAAATAGCAGAGGCTAGTTACTTATCATCCCGCCCTCGTACATGATTAAGATATGATAGGTAAAGAGAAGGGTCACCTCAATCAATCAATTTTTCATAACGCGCCTAAATAAGTATAACTTCAAAAACACTTTTTCTGATTTTGTAGTCCTTACAGTTCTTTCGTCCTTCTTTGTTTCTCTATTTTATTCTAATAGCTTTCAGCGCCTTTTTTTAAATTTACCTGGTTGCTACTGTAGCGCCACCCTTATTTAGCAGATTTTAAACGAACACTTTTTACACACAGAGACGGTTCTCCTTACCTCTACCCTCCATAATTTTCGCAAGAGCCCAGATCACTGGCCATAGATAATACACTTAATTGGTCGTGACTTCGACTATATTCGGCACTGAAGCACTTGGTGGCTTACACTTTTGTGACGCAGTCTCTACCTTGCGTTACTACTGACAATGCTTTTCAAAACGTTAGCCTGCATATTGATGTAAGAAAAAATGATTCCATTTTTATTTTTTATTGCTTAGATGGGTGGACGAGCTCACAGCCCACCTGGTGTTAAGTAAATGCGCCACCCACCTTGAGATATAAGTTCTAAGGTCTCAGTATAGTTACCTCGGCTACCCCACCCTTCAAACCGAAACGCATTACTGCTTCACGCCAGAAATAGGCGGGGTGGTGGTACCTAACCGTGCGGACTCACAAGAGGTCCTACCACCATCTAAAGCAAATTTAAAATTACTCGAGTAAATAATTTTCTAAATAGGAAGCTCTAAACATAAAAAAGGTTGATTAATGAACAAGCCAGCAGTGCCCACATAACAGTAAAATTAAAAACAATAAAGAAAATAAATGTTGGATTAAAACAAAACAAACACCGTTTAGGGGTGGTATTTAATAAGTGTATTTCAAATCGCAATTAAAAGAAGAGCCGGCCTCCGTTGGTGATATTTAAATGACTGAAATTAATTGCGAACACACACAAGGTCGGAATATTAAAAGGGTCCAATTAGTGGGGCGACGACGGTTTTTGATGACCGCGTGGACTCGTGTTTGACTTGATGCGGCATCATTTACATTGATGTTCTTCGATTACCGCGGTAGTTAGTTTACGTAATGCCTAGTTGTCTGGTGGGGTCTATTGTGTACTAGGGGTGTGTACCACCGTCTTACTTATTACTGCTGCAAAGCGGTTTCAGTTAGACATTACGTAATAATACTGGGACTTCATGCGGCGTCCTTGGACTCCGTTGACTACAACACAAGGTCAGCTGTCAACATATAAACACCAAAAAAAACATAAACCTAATGTTTTTAACGCATTTAAGGCAAACACTCCCACTTTGATAAAGCGGCACGACACGAGAACCCTCTCATCGTGGCCGCCGGAAACTACATAGCCGATCCTGAGGGCCAAATGGTAAACAGTCGACACGTCATTTCGGATCCTCCCGATCTACTAACGGTGCTTTTAGGTACTCCAAGCACCGGTTATCGTTCTCGTCGAACCCGTCGCTTGCGACGAAGGGCTCGACGAGTAAATTAACCCACAGACACAGCCACCGAGTTTCTGGCCGGATCTTCTCAGTGGGTCGCGTTTCCGATCCGGTGGTAGATTCTGCGAAACGCGGCTCTTGCTAGGGGTTCGTGTTAGCAACGTCATCAGGTTTGAACTCCGTGTGCTCACCTACTAGCTTGGTGACGCTGATATGGTCTCTCTAGACTATCAGCTTAGGTAGGAACAAAAAAGCAAACACGAAATTCGTAAATATCTACAATTTTTTTGAGCATTTTATTTATCTACTAAGTAGGTACTATTTAACATTGAAAATCATTTAATTTATTTCAATACTGGTACCCAGTTAGCCAATGAAATCTTTGGCTTAACGATTATAAGCGTAATCTAAAAATCGGTTTTGTCACCCTTTTCGAACGGTAAAAGTTAGCGTTTTTGTGCAATAAACAAAAAAGTTGCTACATCAGCGGCCCGGTAAACACGCGTTTGCATTCAGAGCCCCTTTGATAAGTATCTGGATTCGACCGAAGCGACCTCGCCCAGGGTCTAATTTAGATCTGATGTTGACAGGCGGTTAAAGGCAAGGCCTAACGTATTAATATATTATTATATTAATAATTAATTATCAATATAATTATGGATGGAATATTTAAAGGTTTTCAATTGATAATTATTTTTATTATTTGTTTTGGTAATTTGAAATATACTACAATAATGCTATGTACACATATGGATTTGTTGTAAGAAATAAATCATTTCATTCATTCATTCACTCATTCAGTCGTTCATTTACTCATTCATTTATTCATTAAGACTATAAGCTGACGGCAGTTTACGCATAGAAAAACCACAAATAAACAAAATAGCGGCAAAGGCTTAAATTCAATTTAAATAAATGCAAAAATAGGCTTTATGACGTGTACGAAAATAGATTAGCGTTTGACCAATTTTATAAGCTGCCAACTTAGCTGTTTTGGGACTTGATCTAATGTCATCGAGTTGAGAGGCTATTCTAAATGTTAATTAAAACATATACGATTCTATTATTATTTACATATCAATTGGAGAAATCATTTGTATTTTGGATTTATCATTACTATCGAACGGTAGGCAGCGGCTTGGCTCTGGCCCTGGCATTGCTGAAGTCCATGGGCGACGGTAACCACTCACCGTCAGGTGGGATCGTCTACCAACAAGGGCAATAAAAAAACATCGAATAAATAATCTATATATTAATACGTGAAGCAAAAACTTTGTACCCCTTTTTACGAAAATTGCGCGGACGGAGGAGTATGAAATTTCCCACACTTATAGAGAATATAGTGAAGAGGTGAGGTGAGAATGTTATATATTATTAAAATGATGTATTAATAATACATTAAATAAATAAATAAAAACATTACACACACTACCATATATTTGACACACACTATATTTATTGTCAAACTTTTGTTGCTTATAGGTTGGTCAAATTGAGAATAGTTTAATAATGTTTATTTGTCTACAGTGTAGTCTTGATGAAATATGTGATTATAGAAGTATGTATTGTGCTCGTCTGCCTAAATGGGCAATAAAAAAAAATATAATAGTTTTTGACAATAGAACCATAATAATGTTCAAATTTATAATTTAAATTAATTATAGTCGAATTTCGACTACTGCGGGACGACTAGTATACTAGACGATAGTGAATTTGTGTGATGATCTTATTTCTATTACGTTCTAAGTACGCTCCTGTGCTTTGATAGCCGCCCCACGTGAAATCGGCACTCCATCCGGTTTTATTTGCTCGAACGCCATTTCAACGGATTATCTCCAGGTACAGAATAAAAATCGTGTTTGCCTAAAATATTTCGAAACGCTGCGTCGGGTATTTCGTAAATGAAACATTGTGAAATTGTTTGGATAGCGATCTTTATTAAATGCTTTCGATTTAGAATTAGAAAGAAGTTTTATTTTATTTTACCTTCTACTGATATGAAGTCTGAAAATGTACATTCGTTCGTTCATTCATTCATCGTACGTTCATTTTAGAAAAAAGAAGTGGTTCGATGCATAGTAATTAATTCAAAGAGATCATAATAGTTTTAAGTTCGGTAATATTTTGAAATTATATAGATGGATTTCAAGATTTGTCTCCTGTCACAGCTTTCTCCCGATTCTTTTGTTTGTTTTTTTCAGCAATAAACAAATCTGTCGCTTTTTGAAATTCTCTTTGTTCTTCTAAATGTTTTTTTTCTTTTCTACCCCAATGAGTTTTCTCTGAATACCATTTAGAATATTTTGTGTAATCCTATAATATAAAAACATTTATTTTTAATCATTTTTATTCGAGAGGCGACTATATTTGAGAAGTAAAATCGAGCAGAGACAATGTTAATTTCGGGTGTGTTTTTTGGACACGAATGTACACTTCACACAATGTTAATGATATGACGACGCTTGCAGCTGAAAGTAAGTATTGTACTTTTTGACGAAGCATGTTGCTGATAACTTTATTTCTGTAATCTGACGAAGCATGTTGCGGATAATAACATGTACTTTTAGGTTAGGAATTTTGTGTTCTTTTTTTTATAATATATAAAAAATGTTAATGATTACTGAACAGTGATTTTCTTCACGAAAATCGGCAACCGTTCACTTATTACTACATCAATTAAGACGGTAAACGATGTAATTCAAAAGTGAACCATCAGTCATTTTGTGATCCTTAAATATGGCGTCTGCCATCGCTGTGTATAAGCACCCCATCTGTTCCAGTGGATACCGTTAAAGGCCCTTAAAGGATTCACTGGAGAACGCGCAGCGGTTTTCTCAGAGCATTACACCAGTAATCTTGACAAGGAACATCAGGACCACTTTTTTGGGAATGTTTTTTTTTATTGCTTAGATGGGTGGAAGAGCTCACAGCCCACCTCGTGTTAAGTGGTTACTGGAGCCCATAGACATCTACAACGTAAATGCGCCACCCACCTTGAGATATAAGTTCTAAGGTCTCAAGTATAGTTACAACGGCTGCCCCACCCTTCAAACCGAAACGCATTACTGCTCCACGGCAGAAATAGGCGGGGCGGTGGTACCTACCCGTGCGGACTCACAAGAGGTCCTACCACCAGTAAATGATTCAAATCATGAATTCAAATCATATATTTTAATTGTTACTTACACATTTTACGGCCGAATCGTCGTTGAGAATATGTTCATGTATTTGAACAGGCGACAATCCACTAATGGCTATCCTGTAAATATAGATAATTAATTTTTAAATAAAAATTAATATTCAATTTGCGTAATTCCTGGTGTTAACGCCTATTATCTCTATATATAAAAATGAATTGCTGTTCGTTAGTCTCGCTAAAACTCGAGAACGGCTGGACCGATTTGGCTAATTTTGGTCTTGAATTATTCGTGGAAGTCCAGGGAAGGCTTAAAAGGTTTAAAAGAAAATATAAAAAAGCTCGGAATTATATAAAAACAAACAATTTTGTTTTTCCTTTGATGTGTCCCCTTGATGTGTCTTTTATTTATCGATTGAGGCACTACGAAGTCTGCCGGGTCAGCTAGTAATAAATACTTCTGTCTATATTTGTTCCGAATTAAAAAAAGGAAATAAGAATTGGTGATTTGAAAATTTACCAGTTATTACATGTTTCTGCGTTCCAATAATGTATAATACTTCAATAAAATATATCACAGTATTGTCGTGTCGTTATTTTATTTATTTATTTATTTTATGTTTGTAAGATTACTTGTGGCCCGGAGGCCTTTCCAGTTTCACCAGGACAGGCGGGCGAACAAAGGCTTAGTCGGGAGGGGTGGGATTTGCTAACAACTGCCCGAGCGCCTCCGAAGGAGACCTAACAACTCGCCGTGCCGTCTGTGGTCATGCAAGACGACGACGGCGAAGCTGTCTCAAATGTTCGTATTTAATTTCTTACTCTAAAGTTTTTTTAGGTGTTAAGTAACTCTGCAAGGTCTCCTGCAAGTATCCGAAATTGTAGCTCTCTAGTAAGTGAGCTAGGCTGTGCACATCAAAGTCATTCGGTATTTCATGGTTACTGAAAATTTATTGATTGATGAAATACGTACTCAACAAATGTTCACGATTGATTTCCACGGTGAAGGAATAACATCGTGTAATAAAAATGAAACCCGCAAAATTATAATTTGCGTAATTACTGGTGGTAGGACCTCTTGTGAGTCCGCACGGGTAGGTACCACCACCCTGCCTATTTCTGCCGTGATGCAGTAATGCGTTTCGGTTTGAAGAGTGGGGCAGCCGTTGTAACTATACTTGAGACCTTAGAACTTATATCTCAAGGTGGGTGGCGCATTTACGTTGTAGATGTCTATGGGCTCCAGTAACCACTTAACACCAGGTGGGCTGTGAGCTCGTCCACTCATTTAAGCAATAAAAAAAAAAAAAAAACATTAGAGAAAAATACAATAATAATAAACTTTAAAATTTGCAAATAAGTGAGTTTCATTTCGAATAATAAATATGGCGGGTTTTTTTCCTACCTATTCTAGTAGCCTCTTAATCTAGATTCACCGACATAGTAGGTGAGCTTGTGGGGCTCAAGCCGGGAGTGTTGCTAACACTAGTTCTAGCAAGAGCAGTGGTTCGCCACCGGATCGGATCTTGAGCCGAAGCTATTCTGGGCTATACGGCGTAATGATTAAAAATAAAAATGCATACGATGAGTCTAAACTGTCGTATTATTTAGAGTTATATGTCACAAACATATGTACATTAGAATTCTATGCGTTTATTTTAATTGATGTACGTAGGTAGGCCATGTTCATTACTGATATCATATGAAGTGCATACTCCTGAGCCGTCTTTTACGGCACCCAAGAGAAAAGTCGGGCTTGAATTTTTATGGCCACAAAACAAAAATATGGCATATGGCTATGCTCATTTTACAGCAAAATTAAAATATTTAGTATTTAATTTCACATTTTCTATTTTCATTTTATTATTTCATACTTTTCGAATAATTTAAGATACTGTGGTCACGACGAGGTGACTAAGTTGTGACTGTAAGCCAACGAGACATGACTAGCCAGTAAAACTGTTAAAAATGTGTATGTAAAAAAATGACTTGCGAAAAGCCCAGGAAATAATTATTTACCGCATAACCCAATCTTGCAGTAACTCTAATATCACGGAATAACATGTGTTTGGTAAGAGCAGAGCTTTAGGGAAAGCTTGCAGAAGCTCTTTACTTCGCACCGTCCACGGTTCGGTGCAGCCTCCTGGAATATCGCATAAAGATAATGCTAAAGTCAGAAGATCGTAACTGCAAGAGTGACTGAGAGGACGCTGATAAATGAACTTACAATGCACTGATTCGTATTACAATATTACATCATTGTACGTGCCTATACATATCACAGTATGAGTGTCGCCAACCGTTTTAACATTTTGGCTGCGGCACTGGTTGGTACCAGCACTGTGGCTATTTCTGCCGCGAAACCGTAATGCGTTCCGGCTTGAAGCACGAGGCTGCCGCTGTGCCATATAACTAAAACCTAGAACTCAAATCTCGAAGTGTGTGTCAGCATTTACTTTGTTTATATCTATAGGCTCCTATAACCATTTAAAACCAGGATGGCTGTAAGGTTGTTCACATGTCGAAGCTATAAAAAAAAGAAATAACAACAATACAATTTGATTACTAATGTTACGATACATACCTATAATAGTTATTTTATGTGTTCTGTTTGTCGTTCTTAGTAATTTCTTCACGATGTGCCTTTTGATTATTTTTGGACTGATCCCTAAATCCTCTTCGGTAGGCACCTTGAAAATTTAAACAAGCATATTATTGAATTTGAAATCATGCGAATGAGTTAAGGTTTTCTTTTTACTACGAATCGATAAGAACCCCCCCTCCCATTGTACCTTCAGTCCTCTCTGTAGATTTCGTATTTATAAGAAGTGCCCTGAATTATTTTAGATGTTGCCGCTATCTCTCTTCTCCCATCGTCCCACCCATTATCGCAGCAGAATTAATCTGTACTAACTGGCAACATCGGGCACAGGAACGAACTTCGCGGTGTTGCCTGAGTGATTTGACATAACATACCATATGACATATAAACAAGGTTCTTTTTCTTCTTCTTTTTCTCCACCTTATCCCACTAGGTGGGATCGGTACAGCCTAATTTTCTCTTGCATTCTCTTCTATCAGTCATCTCAACACTCACTCCTCTCTCTCTCATATCGACATTTACACACTCCATCCATGTCTTCTTCGATCGACCTCTTCCCCTCTACCTTGCACTACCATTTCCATACATCTCCTAGTCACATGCATCTTCTCTCTACGCATCACATGTCCAAACAACGTTTTAAATAGTCTAAAGCTATAAGCAGAGGCTCAATTATACGTACGGCCCTTGTACTTGAACCTATGCGTTGTTTTTTTTTATTTTTTACCTTTTTGCAAAAAATATACTGTAAATGTTTTATGTAAATCGCAGATGGTTGAACATTCAGTGCGCAAGTCTTTATGCTGTCCAACAGGTTATCCAGGTGTATCGCTGTTAATTCATTTTTCAAAACCATCGGATCCAATACAAATAAAACTGCATCTGAAATTATATATTTTTTTAGTTTTAGAAATTTAGCTCCCAGCCCACGTGGTCCTCTGTAGATACTGAAGCCATGAGGTCGTGAAGCATATCTCCAACTAAAACCTAGGAGTTTCTAGATATTCGTATGTCCTATTTATACTTCCTTTTTTTTGGAATACAACATTGAACTTAAACTACCTACCTATATAAAATCTAACCTTACAACTAAACACAATGTCTCCGCATTTAAATAACTAAAAACGATTGTAGCGTCGCATCGCCTAGAATTAAATAACGTAAAACACAAATAACAATAATTTTAAGAAAAAAAAAACAGAAAAACGTAGTAAATAGAAAATAATCAATTTAAAATTTGCATTCAACTATCGACTGACTAATGTTCTCCTAACGCTCTTAGTAGAAGTTGTTGAAAATGTTCAGTTGAGGGCAGTCAACTAGAGCATAGAAATAGTTAGCAGCTCATACTTAAAAAGTATGCATTATGTCTGTAATTTGTACCACCACGAGGTACTCCGAGACGAGATGATTGACGGCTCTCACACATTATTTATTCTTTCCTATTTATTGTATCTATATCTATAATAATAAATAAATCTACAGTCGTTTTTACGAATGTTCCGTTATAACTACTGAACCAAGCGTCCGATTGACTTGAGACTTGGTATCCATGTAGAAAATACATGTACTTAATGGATAGGCTAATATTTATATGAGTGTTGGACTCCCTACACCAGTTGCGGGGGCGTTAATGATGAGAATCTTTCATTTTATTAGGGCACATTAATCATGAATTTTTCAAACAACTTTTATGTTGCCTTAGTAGGCAGACAAGCATATGAAGCGACTGTTGATAAGTGGTAGTGAGTACGGCACGTCAATATAGGGATTGCCAAGTCGCTGCCCACCGCTCAGTTTTCTCCACAATTGAAGATTTACTATTTTATTTGACTTTAATTGATTATTTTAGGAAGTGGTACGGTTGCGTATTGAATTTCCGATTTCATAAACGACGGTTTTAGATGTAATGCACATAAAATATTCCGTTAAATACACTCATATTTTATTTCTCCCTTTCGAAATGCTAAATCGTACCTCGAGAATGACGAGTATCGATCGATTAATAGGTAATTTATATTGAAATAACTTAATAATATCATAAATGCTCAAAAAAATTCTTAAACAATTCTTTCTTGTGCTTGGTAATGTTCTTGTTTAAAAATGTGAAACGGGTCTAAAATTTAAAAAAGCTCAATTAGCGATTAATCATTATTAAGTTTTTTTATTTTCTATTATATTAAATAATTAAAATAAGAACAGAATTCCATTTTCACCGATAATTAAATGGGTCTTTCGCTGAAGTTGTAGCAGAAAAAAAAGGACTTAAATTAGTGAAGGCTATTGGTGTATGTATTTTGGACTTTTGTGATCAATTTCCACATCCTTAAAGGGGCATAGACGCTCATTTATTTAAATACGTGTGTAGATCTCAAAATTCCCAAAGAGCAAATTCAAACATAAACTCTAAAATTGGTCTTTTTTTTTACGACCAATGGTTGCAAGACCTTATAGCCTATCTTAAATTTAAAATTGGTCTTACTGTTTAGTTTTGCCAGCGCATATACTAGTTTAGTTTTACCGCAGCCATTAGGTCCAACTAGTAGTATTTTTTGATGACCCTGGCTTACATCACGACACACCCTCCACCACATGCTCCTTGTGTCACCATTGCACGGTAGAGCTTGTCTAGAATTCAGTGCGGAATTTGGTAGATTAAATAAGTTACATTAAACCTCATTTTAACCTCATTTCGATGTGAACAGTAATCTTTAATCATTCGTCCGAATAGTATAATCTGAATTGACGTATTATTTATCTATAAACATAACATAATATTATAAAATTGCAAATCACTAATATTAGTACACTATGTATTTTAAAACACTAAAACTTAATCTTTTTTAGTTTGTTTTACAATTTTTTGTTGATATTTATTTAGAAATTCAAGTTTTTGACTGGTGGTAGGACCTCTTGTGAGTCCGCGCGGGTAGGTACCACCGCCTATTTTTGCCGTGAAGCAGTATTGCGTTTCAGTTTGAAGGGTGGGGCAGCCGTTGTAACTATACTGAGATCTTAGAACTTATATCTCAAGGTGGGTGGCGCATTTACGTTGTAGATGTCCATGGGCTCCAGTAACCACTTAACACCAGGTGGGCTGTGAGCTCGTCCACCCATCTAAGCATTAAAAAAAAAAGATTTCTTATTCTTCTGATATCTTCTATTTCTAGTATTTATCTTACATTCGGCATTACATTACATACATTACAGTCGGCATTTAGCCGACTATCTAGATCCTAAAATTATATTTTATGAATAATATTAAACTCACTGAAACGTGTAACGTAAATCTTCTCCGGCAAAGTTGTGATCACCAATAAAATCTTCTAGTTTCGTTTTAGGATATTCTATTAGGATGCCTCGATTAACAAGATTCTGGAATTGAATAATTACACTAATGCTTTTGTTGCACGCAATGAAATACAAAAAAGATCAGATGATTCTCTGATTAAAGCTGTTGGGGAAGCGCGGGAGGTGGGGTACCTTGCCGGTACATTGCTCTCCTGTAACATGAGCTTATCAAGACTAATATTTTTATTGGTTTGTAATTGAACATTATTTTCCGTCTACTTTTGAACCTGATCTTACTTTTTAAGGAGCTGGCCAAATAATAGTCCAGCACTTAAATCCTTGGGATCTTTAGATGTTCTTCGTCTTCCTTCCACTCTTCATCGTCAAATACAGCTCGCTTGAGTTTTGGAACAGTGTTTGGATCTTTTTTTTTATTGCTTACACAAATTAAAATTTTGCGGGTTTGATTTTTATTACTTGATGTTATTCCTTCACGGTGGAAGTCAATCATGAACGAATTGGTAAGTACATTTTTCATTAGAAATATTCGTACCCGCCTGCGGGATTCGAACACCGTTGCATTGATACATACGAATGCACCGGACGTCTTATCCTTTAGGCCACGACGACTTCCTATAAATTTTTTAGTCTGTATAGTCAGATATTCCCCAAGGTCTTTATTTGTTTGTTGCATAGACATAACAGCGTTACGTGCTTGTCGGAGCCTATACACTTCACCTTGAGCCTTGAGCTTTGTGCAAATTATATTATTTGCGTGTTTGATTTTCATTACACGATGTTATTCCTTCATCGTGGAAATGTAAACATGGTATTTCATTAGAAAAAATTATACAAGATCGATCGATACGAATGCATCGGGCGTCCTTTAGATCACGATGACTGCAAAGTGTATGAAACTTAAAGTTACCTCAAAGTAGTACTTTACTCAGGTTTCCGCTTACTCTATACTGGCCTCTATCATACAGTCACTCAATCCAATACCTTTCATCATAAATGTATAGAGATTCACCTCAATGAGTTCACTAGTGTTATTGTTCGAAACTTTAGCGAATTTTCGAAGCTTAAATTTTGGTTTCGATACTTTTTTTATTGCTTCTGGTATTTTTTCGTTATTTCGTGTGTAGTCTTCAATCAAGGCAGCTTTTAGTTTTTTGTATTCGTTTCTGAAAATAATTAAAGCTTTTCTTATGATTAAAAAGTATGGTACTCATATTATATTCGGTTCAGGGCTGCCTCCGTTTGATCACCTTAAGTCAGCGGCTCTCAACCGTTTTTACTTTGCGACGCACTAACATACGTTTGACAAATTCGTGATACACTTACGTACGTGCATCCAAAAAATATATATTTGAGATAGGTAATACGGTACATTTATTAAATTATACATCATTAAAATAGCTTGTATAGTGAATATCTGGCAAACAGTTTTATAGCTTGCGAAAAACAGTGTGTTGACAACACAAGACGTCCTACCACCAGTAAAAAATTCTTTTAACCTCATGTCTTCTTGTACGTTGACTAAAACCTCCATCTTTGCTTTCATCCAAGAATCTTCAATATTAAATCGTTCGATAAATCTTTCTTTTACATCTAATGTGTCTAGTTCGTCCAAGTAATCCCAATCTTTACGATAATGTTCAAGAGCCTGGGCAGATATGTATTATTATTATAGATATATACCAGATCTCGTTATTTTTTTGGTCAAAAATTACAAATCAAGCTACAATTTTTTGTTCATCTCAAAGACTTGTTATGACAATTATTTGATGCTACAGATACCTATACTGCCCCGCTGATGTTTGATATGCCAAAAATAATCTATGTCTTTATATATAAAAATGAATTGCTGTTCGTTAGTCTCGCTAAAACTCGAGAACGGTTGAACCGATTTGGCTAATTTTGGTCTTGAATTCATTGTGGAAATCCAGGGAAGGTTTAAAAGGTAGATAAATGCTCGGAATTAAATAAAAATAACAATTTTGTTTTTCCTTTGATGTGTCCTCCGTCGAACGAATTCCTTTTGTTTGTTTTAAGTTTATTTTATACAAAAGTTTAGGTCTTTTATTTATCGATTGAGGCACTACGTAGTCTGCCGGGTCAGTTAGTATTTAATAAAATATGAAATTATATTGAATGTATGCATTTTGCCATTTTGTAAGCCCAGAATCACGCGTCACCCACACTATTTGTACATCCATTAATAGAAGCTATAGGAAAAAGATGCTGTGTGTCGAAAACTTTAATACCTTTAAACATATATAATCATTTGACAACTTTGATACCTTCAAAATCAGCTCTGTTGTTCTAGAAGGAGGGTAACGAAAGCCAGGGTGTAAGCTTGGGTTTTTCATCATTTTCCTTTTTAATTCGGCTTCTATTTTATTTTGAATCGACTTCTCCTTCTTTTTTGTTTTCAACTCTTGCTTTTCTTTCTTTTTTTCCCATTTGATCTTGAAGATATTTTAAGTAACACATTAAAATTATTTCGAGGTAATTACCTACGTTGAGTTCATCTCCAGTGACAAGTAGGTACCAATTGCTCTAAATAAATTGTATATTATGCTCCGAACAAATATCACGACAAAATTGTTTCATTAAATATAATTATCGTACATTAATTCATCATCATTCTCCTGCTCTTCTCCCAGTCATCTGGGGACGGCGCAACATGTTTTCTTCCTTCATATTTGTCTATCATATACCATTTCTTCGCTCACTCTCTTCATCTTGCACGCAATCTATTCATGTATTTATTTAATAATAATCAAAACAACCAGCTTATACATACATACGTCTCAGTATGCTAGAACTTTAATGATGTTTATGCGCTCTGTGTGCTTAGCACGAGTTTTTAACGCTCTCGATAGCGTAAAAGTTAACTCAAATTTGTATGCAGTTGGAACAGCGCCCTTAGCGGCAAACGTTCCAACTCCATACAAATTTGAGTTAACTTTGACGCTATTGAGAGCGTTAAAAAACTCGCACTGATTACAACTGAACATTCAGAGAATTGTGGGCTGATATTCTCATTATAAAAGTAAAAAAAATGATTATCAATCCAATGTTTGGATATGTTGGAATTTTTGTAAATAAAATATTTATAAATATGTATATACCACTTATTTTAATATTCATACAATTCATAGCAAGAAATATACTTAGTGTATCCATGTTTAAACTAACTTGAAGTGCTGTTTTTGTCTTGTTCGAAGCTTTTTCATGCATATACCTATTATATTCTTCGAGCCATTGCGCTGGTGAAGGCAACTCCTCTTTGATAATCGAAGCAAGTCCGCCTTCTTTATCCGTTGGTAGCTCGTGGAAGAATTTAATTTGTTCATACCTTTAATAATTAGAGATGGAGACAAAATCGTGGGTTCTTCAATAACTAATTTACGGTATATTTTCTATGGTTACCACTATAAGTTTCCATAAGTTAATGTTTTTTTTTGGCTTAGATGGGTGGATGAGCTCACTATCCACCTGGTGCCATAATTCACTTTGAGCGATGACATCTAAGTCTCAATTATAATGTACAATGGCTGTCCCACCCTTCAAATCCAGTCACCCTTCAAATCGGAACGCATGACTGCTTCGCGACAGAAATAAACAGGATGGTGGTACCTACCCGTGCGGGCTTATAATAGCATCAGTAATAATTTACAATTTGATGTTATCTGCTAGTGATGTTTCGAATTGCAAAGGTAAATGGATCATAAAATGAACTTGATTTGAATATGTAATGACATTGGATTCGGTGTCTTTCTAGTAAGTTGAAGAGAGTTTAAAATTCAAATTACCAATCATAAAACCAGTTTCTAATAAAATCCCTGTAATCTTCCATTAATTCAGCTCCTTTCGATTCAATTAATCTTTGTTTTGTTATTTTGCATTGCTGTTCGCATTCCCCCTGATATTTGAGTAGGATTCCTTCTTTGTCATCCGCCTTAACAGAAGTTGTGGTTAGCCAAAGCTCACTAGATTAATCGAGTCTGGTGGAAATTATGCGTACCGTATTAATTGCCATCTGTAATCTGGCAGATCCGATCAACCGAAGGCCTAATATTTCATCGTTTCTTATTTTCAACTGAGTCTTACGTTTTGCTGCGAAATAAGCTCTAAAATGGTTTTCACGTTAGGTGTTTGTTAACTGTGCTTAAAATTTTACGTTATTTTTAGAACGTCATCAGTGTACTTATGTCAATATTCATAATGATGTACATACGTAAGGAAGCCATATGTATATTCATGATGAAATATATCAATCAGGTTTTCACGCACGCATCTCTCACAACAAACATTTTGGAAAGTCGGATTGAATAATTTATTGGGACCATACACACACACTTAAAAATGTAGTGGACACAGAACTAAATTAACTCTTTATTTGAACATTAACGAACCTTAAAACGATTTGAATGAGATTGGCACTTTTTTCCCTCAAAGTGTAAGGAGCGCTTTTCAATGTGCCGCTTAATTCTCTCTCCCAGATTCGTCTACTGTACGCTCGTCTTCGCATCAAGCTGATTGTTTGTCTGAAATGTTTTCAATAAAAAAAAAAACCTATTAATTAAATTATGTTCTGTGTGCTTAGTGCGAGTTTTTTAACTTTCTCGATAGCGTAAAAGTTAACCCAAATTTGTATGCAATTGGAACAGCGCCCCTAGCGGCAAACGTAGGCAAACGATCCCATTCCATACAAATTTGAGCTAACTTTTACGCTATCGAGAACGTTAAAAAACTCTAAGCACACTGAAGAGGAAGTATTCTTTTACAGTTAGATGAAGCTTATGCAGTTCGAAAAGCGATGTTCTGTGGATGTACTGATAACCGGCAGCGGTAATAACATCACGGGATAAACCAAATAAATAGGGAACCTTAGTAAATGTCCAAACTCGGCAAATTAGCATCGAAAACGTGAGCTCCTAATTTTCATACCTTGGCAATCTAATAAAATTAAATTGGCATTGTTAATACCGTCATTTGAACTGATACATTCTTTTATACACAACAAATATTACAAAAAAACTTGTTTTGTTTAATAAGTAATCAATATAGACAAAGGTGGATATTACGAAGGGTGGTTGTTAAATGAGAATATCTGGTCGTCTCACTAACGTGCGCGCTAGGAATGGTGACGTAATAATGATGACGTCGTGAAAAATTATTAGCATAGTTTTGAAGTGAAACTTCCTTATCGGCGTTGGAAAAAAAATTACCGTCACATTTTTCGGTTACGCGTCACATTTTTCCGTTACGCGCCATCTGTTTTGTATTCATGTCTATGATAATAAAATCCTTTTGTTTAAACTTTATCTAATTTAACTTTTTTGTATTCATGTCTATGATAATAAAATCCTTTTGTTTAAACTTTATCTAATTTAACTTTATTTAACCAATTTCTAGAAAGTTGCATGTAGATCATTTTTCGAAAAATAAGGCCATAAACAAGTTTCACTTCTTACGTGTGTACACTAGTACACGCACACATTTTTTTTTTTTATTAGACAACTACCTTCACTACCAGACGTCACTAATAAATATATTTAAATAATAATAATTAAATAAATTGCTGGTTTTTTTTAATAGTTAAAAAATAGGAAAATAACAATACAGCGAACAATGATTTATATGTAAAAAGAAAATCATTGACAGCGAACGTCAACATTGAAATAGTTAAAACTTTTACTCTTTTTACTGCTTTTTTATTCATTTCTTTTTATAATTTGTATGCTTCGCAAACTTTATAGTTTTTGTGTTCACGACGACTGATGTTTTATTGGTCGATATTTTGCATATTGTGCCAACTACCACCTAGTTTTGCATATTGTGCCAACTACCACCTAGTTTTGCATATTGTGCTAACTACCACTTAGTTTTGCATATTGTGCCAACTACCGCCTAGCTTTGCATATTGTGCCAACTGCCGTCTAGTTTTGCATATTGTGCCAGCTACCATCTAGTTTTGCATATTGTGCCAACTATCGCCTAGCTTTGCATATTGTGCCAACTGCCGTCTAGTTTTGCATATTGGGCCAACTACCGTCTAGTTTTGCATATTGTGCCAACTACAGCCTATAGTTTTGTATATTGTGCGAAGTGCCGTCTAGTTTTGCATATTGTGTCAACTACCACCTAGTTTTGCATATTGTGCCAACTACCACCTAGTTTTGCATATTGGGCCAACTACCGTCTAGTTTTGTATATTGTGCCAACTACCGCCTAGCTTTGCATATTGTGCCAACTGCCGTCTAGTTTTGCATATTGTGCCAGCTACCACCTAGTTTTGCATATTGTGCCAACTACCGCCTAGCTTTGCATATTGTGCCAACTGCCGTCTAGTTTTGCATATTGTGCCAGCTACCATCTAGTTTTGCATATTGTGCCAACTACCGCCTAGCTTTGCATATTGTGCCAACTGCCGTCTAGTTTTGCATATTGTGCCAGCTACCACCTAGTTTTGCATATTGTGCCAACTACCGCCTAGCTTTGCATATTGTGCCAACTGCCGTCTAGTTTTGCATATTGGGCCAACTACCATCTAGTTTTGCATATTGTGCCAGCTAACCACCTAGTATTGCATATTGTGCCAACTACCATCTAGTTTTGGTTATTGTGCGAAGTGCCGCCTATTTTGGCATATTGTGTATCTTCCACCTAGTTTTGCATATTGTGCCAACTGCCGTCAAGTTTTGCATATTGTGCCAACTGCCGTCAAGTTTTGCATATTGTGCCAACTACCGTCTATTAATGTATATTGTACCCACCGTCTAATTTTCTTTAGCAATGATTTTTTGACATTTACGTTTCTTTGCACATAGTTTATTCTATTCTATTTGAATTAAAATACCCTTCATAGTAAAAATAACGAATAACTGGAGATCGGTGCATCTGTAATATATTTAATGGTAGGCACCGGCTTGGCTCTGCCCCTGGCATTGCTGACGTCCATGAGCGACGGTAACCGCTTATCCTCAGGTGGGCCGTAAGCTCGTCTGCCTGCAAAGGCAACAAAAAAAATAAAAATATACTTCATAACTTAGAGTAAAATGTCAACCTTGACTTTTCGTGTGATTTAATCATATCAATGAAATATCTGCTTTTCATAATGTCTTGAGATATTTTATTTTCGTCTTTTTCTAAGCTGATCTGTGATGAATCACTTTTGCAGTCGTCCTCCCACCAATTGATTGCTTTTCCTAATGTTTTATTTTTAATAGGTTGATCATCTAAAAACGCAAGAAAAACGTGAAAAATGAATATTTTTAGTCTTGATTCATTTGCCTCATTGGGCTGGTGGTTACCGAAACAGACTACAGGAACATGCGATCTAGTTTGGCTTGGTTTTCATTCTCGATCAGAGTAGATAATTTTTTAAATATTTTTATTGGTAAGATTTTACCTTTCAGCTTAGTTAGATCATCTAAAGCTTTTTTTCCTTGAATTTTCTTGTAAGTCTCCTTTATCAAAGTTTCGATTTCATCAGACCTTATAAATACGAATGGAAGATCTTTTAATTGTGTGTTGTCCGGTGTAAGAATCTCCCGAGCGACACCGTTACCGACGAAATGACACTGACTACATTCTAAATTTTGTAATTCATTTTTTATTTCTATGATTCTGAAATATTATTCAAACCTTAGTCAAACATTTATTTACTAACTTTACATTAGTTCGATCTATAGTATTTCTTTTTTTAACACATATTCGGATTTCAAAACTAAGTGGCTGGTAGTAAATCAGAATTTGATCGCATGGTTCCCGCGTTGATTGGCTGAATTGTCACGAACAGTGACTGACGCCTAGCGCTCAATTCCCGTCCCGTTCTGATTCACAGTCGATATTTTATTAAATATATGGAGTATTTAGAATCTGCATTTAATTATTCTCATTACAGTAGAAAAAAAACTACAATTGTTCAATCTTTACAATTTTTCACCACGGCGCCGCGGCGGTGCGCTGGTTCTATATTTTTGGAGGCTTCTGCGGGGGGCGAGTATCGTCAAGAGGTGAACAAGAAATAGGGGCAGGTCAAGGCTAGGTAATGAGAAGTAGACTTACCTGCCAACCCGTCGCTGGCTTGAAGGCTGCAGAATCTAAGGAATGTGACTGGTGGGCGACGCGTAATGGCAACGGCGGGCGAGACGACTTGACGGCACTTTTCTAAATTGTTTGTTCAAAAAACGGGTATACTACTCGCGCAACGACGAGTGTGATTGTCCGTAATATAAAGTAGTAAAATTCCATAAATATATTGCGATGAAAAAACAAGCGACGTGAGCTTGTACAATGCGTGCGATGCAGTCGGCGATAGTACATTTTTTTTTTTATACCTGGGTGTCCATGCGTTAGGTTTTGTGTCTATTTTCATTAAAAAAATAACCACATTAAATACCTTTTCCTAACAAAATTCAAATCTAATTTAGAGTCGTCGAATATGAAACGCACCTATTTTCAACAGTTTTTATCACCTCCTGCATATATTTCTTCTTCTGTACTTGCAAATTGTTATGCAAACACTCGGAAGCTTCATTATATAGAGCTGAGTATCTAGCTAAAACACTAGACAGACGTAGCACAGCTTCACATAGTTGTTTATCGTGTGCCTTTTTCTGAAAATGTAAATTGCTTTTGAAATTTTCCGACACTTTTTTATATAGTGAGGAGAATCTGTTGTTATGCCGTCACTTATTCAATATAAGTACATTGAGTAAAACAATTATTTATTCCAATGAATCAACAAATACACTTATTAAATATATTTGTTTGTCTCTAAACATAAGTATATTTTTGCGATTTATTTGCCAGTATTGTCATTATTAACATTATGATTCACGGGAAGACTTCTCTTAAAATTATCATTGCTTGTGGTAATTTACAATAAGATTACAAAAAAATACAATAAAAGCAAAATAATTTAAACTGACATAGGTATCACAATCACAATTTAATATAATTTACCTGGTAATTTAGATCTGTTCGGAGTAATGCTTCTAAAGAATTCAGAACATTTTTCCATTTAATAAAATAAAAGTTACTGGACATTTTAGACTGTTACTAATATAAACAGTTACAAATTACCTATTCGAATGTAAAATTCAGTATTCAGTGGGGCCATGCTTTTTGTTCAAGAGTCGAGACAGCGGGAGTACTTGCCTGTTCCTTTATTGATTTAAAAGAGAAACAGTGGTAACAGCTAAAGTACATTTGCACTTATTTTAGTCAATGGAAATGATAAAACACGAGATCGTATAATCGGAACTCATCCAGACCATGAAGTGCTCGTGGTTAAAGAGTCCGGTGTGTCGAACGACTCCATTTTGAAATTCACCAGGATGGGTGGGTGGGTAGGGTAGGGAAGGAGAGAGGGGATGTGCTAACAGCTGCTCGGGCACCCGAAGAAGGCCTAGCCGTTCAGGGGTAGCTGCTCCATGAGTGCAGCTAACATCAGATAGGTATCGCGAATCCGTGAGAAGATTCGGTGAAAGTAAGTGGGTTGGTGACTTATGCTTAGACCGCTGCTAGCGCTAGAACTATAAGCATCTAACAGCATTGACAGAGGTTTAAGTGGTGGTAGGACCTCATGTGAGTCCGCACGGGTAGGTACCATCACCCCGCCTATATCTGCCGTGAAGCAGTAATGCGTTTCGGTTTAAAGGGTTGGGCAGCCGTTGTAACTGTGCTTGAGACCTTAGAACTTATATCTCAAGGTGGGTGGCGCGTTTACGTTGTAGATGTCTATGGGCTCCAGTAACCACTTAACACCAGGTGGGCTGTGAGCTCGTCCATTCATCGAGGCAATAAAAAAAGAATAAACTCTTGTCCTCTCAATAGGATAGGCCATTCACAAAAAAATACGAATACCATTCAATAATTTTGCAAAACTCCGAAAGAGTTGTCACATTCAAAACGCGAAACAGTCGCGTCACACGCACATTCCCTTCAATGAAAGGGCAAATGGCACCCATTTACCGTTATCATTGACAGCGGAAAACTTACATCATGCCAAATGTAGGAAATAAGCGATCTGGCTTGACGGGAACACTGCTTACTTATTGCTCCGAAATGTAAAGTCAAATGATCTTAACACTTGGAATTGGAATTTGGAATAACGCGTCTTAAGCCAAAGGCACAACGTTTATTTTTCTGAAACGTTAATTGTGTTGTTGGTCATTAGCTGCCTCGAGCCGAGCCGTGTTTTCGGGCTTCCTCGCCACAGTTTCCGGTGGCGCTGGATTCGCGCCATCTTGTCACCGGAAGTAGTAAAGCCTTCCGCAGTGCCTTCTGTCGGCGTGTTGGAAACGTGTCCACGATTTAAGCGAGGTATTTTGGCGTTTTTATTCTTGTTTATCTTTTTTCTGTTTTGTTCTCCGGCATTTAAATCTTCAGAATAGAGGGTTTCCTTTTCTTCTACTTGTATTATATAGTTTATGACGAAGTTTATTTTACGTTGCTTATTTTCTTGGTGATTTTGTTACCGAACATCAAAATCAATGAGTTATCCGTCGAAAATTTTAATAACCATAGAAATTATCATAAAGAAAGTTCACAATCGAAAATATATATGTCGGGGAAAGGCTCTCCTCGTTGACATCGTCATTAGTGGCTGTGGGCTTAGTGGGCGTCATGGGGTTAAAGTGCGAGCACAAAACACAATGGATGCCGTTTTATCAGTAGTTTAATTCAGTTTATACAATAATTTGTTATTCCACGGTAATATTGTAGGAATACAACAGTTTAGAGCGAGTTCGGTGCACCAATCTCACTTTAACTATATCCAAATTATCCAACGATCCAACTCGATACGTTTTTATGCTCACAAAATGCGTCACACTACAATACAAGCTTTCTCCAAAGTGAAGATGGCGCCTCGACCACGCTCAAGACAAGACGCTCTGCTCTGATTGGTCGCTGCCTACGTGATTTACAGTTATGGGACCTTTTATTACAGTTTATTTTTATGAAAGGTTTTAAAGTTATAGAAAAACGTAACAAACAAGATAAAATAAAATTAGGAATTATAAAAGTAATTACAACGTAAAACNCCTACGTGATTTACAGTTATGGGACCTTTTATTACAGTTTATTTTTATGAAAGGTTTTAAAGTTATAGAAAAACGTAACAAACAAGATAAAATAAAATTAGGAATTATAAAAGTAATTACAACGTAAAACTAATAATAATAAACATTAAGCATGTAAACAAGAATCAACTCGACTCATTGCTTCCTCTGACATATATAAAATAAGATCATTAAATTTCATTAAAAAGGAATTATTATAATAACTCATTTTAACAAAACCATTTTAATATTTTGTGCCTACTTTAATATCAAAGTATACTCAATTCTAATCATAGTAATATATAGATCAAAATAGGTAAATAACACATTCTCGCAAAGGCAGCCTCTTGTCGTTATCTGTCGTCGTCATATTATTTTTGGGGGAATATCGCATTATTACTGCCCCTGGGACCAGACTCAAGTAACAAGATCCAACCCAGATACATCCTAACGCGTGTTGGGAATGTGTAGAAAATAATTACATTTAAACAAATTACCGTATAACCTTGATCCATTTACAAGTTGTTTAAAAAAGTCGAATTACGAAATAAGCTGATAATATTTCATCAAGAAAAACACAGTTAATCAATCATAGTTGAAGATATGAGTGGATGAAAGGGTTAAGTACCAGTTTTAAGATTTTTAAGGTTTTACTTTGAATGAAGGTATTATGTGTCTATAAACTATATTAGACCTTAAAACCCCGGATTTAAAGGCTATTTTTAGAAATTGTATGTGTTGAAGGAGTTATGTATGAAGAAAAAGTACAAGTAACTAATGTTTGTTGTCCGTGTTCTCAAAATTAACAAATTGTATCATATTCCCTTCATCCACTCATGTCTTCTCATTAGCGATCCTGCGGACAAAATGGAAAGCAGTCAACGTCGCCCCAAACACGTCATTTCGGATCCCCCCGATCCACTAACGTTGCTTTTAGGTACCTTAAACACCGGTCATCGTTCTCGTCGAACCCGTCGCCGTCGTTTGCGACGAAGGGTCCGACGAGTAAATTAACCCTCAGACACATTCCACTGAGTTTTCTCGCCGGATCTTCTCAGTGGGTCGCGTTTCCGATCCGGTGGTAGATTCTGCGAAGCACGGCTCTTGTTAGGGTTCGTGTTAGCAACGTCGTCAGGTTTGAGCCCCGAGAGCTCACCTACTAGTTAAGGCTACGCTGATGTAGCCTCTCAAGACTCTCAGCTTAGATAGAAAGAAAAAAAAACATGTCTTCCATTATTTAGACACTATAATTACATTTTAATCAAAAAGTAAAAGGGCAGTAATATACAATGTAAATGAAATGTTTTAAAAGCGACTAGCTTCGCAACTTGTTAAAAGTTTTGTAACACGTTAAAGTTGTTAACGCTTTATACCAACCAAAAGATCATATTTCCTCTTCACCGGTACGATCAAAGTTGCTCGTCACAAAACACCATGCAAGTTTGAGAGAAACTACGGTCCTTGGAGTAGTCATACGTAAAATCTTTTGTTGATCACACATAGTCTATACGTGAAATCGGTCCGTACCCACATTTTATCGTCGACACAATTTACCCAACGAGGTCCTAACATTACGTCGCTTCATCGCCCGTCAATTTTCATCACAACGTTTTGATGTAAATAGATTTTTTGCTTGTATTTTTCCGTTGACATCATTCCCTTTGAGATGTATCGAATTTTTATTGGACGTCTTGTGAGCGATAGACAGGATCCATTACAGTGTCAGTTACGCTAATCCACAGGGACTGAGGTGAATTTAAAAGTCTAAAAATTTCGTCTGAATTTTTGTATTTTGAACTGTCTATTATTAGGTTACAAATTTATTTCAAGTGGTCAAAGAGAAAGAGACGGGAAGGGATGTTGGATTTTTAAAATGAAACTTACACTCGTTATGTAAACCAAATCTGCAAATATAAATACCATATCCTTATCGCGTTATATTTGTTTGGAAAGTAAAGAAATATATCATCATTTAACCTAAATATTAAATGCATTATGCAGTACACTAAAGACATAGAATACATATTTAACATAATTCATATAAAGCTATAAAATTGATAAGATTAATCGAATATACCTCTCTTCACTTCAAAAATATTCTATTTCAAAAATTACCTACTAATTTAAGGACTACTAATATAAAATGACAATAGCCTTTAAGTTCTGACAAGATAACATGAAAATCCGATCCAATAACTATATTTCACCTTTTGTCCACCCCACGCGATGACGCATGCTTTCAACCGACAAGCCGCTATTGCCGATGCGGTTGCAAAAATATTGACCCGATAAGATGATGACTACACTCAGTGAGTTAATGTTGTTAGCACGCTTTTATCGGCTCGACCTTTACATTAAATTATGTAGCTGTATCGTTCAATGTAGTTTTCACCAACTGCAGAATGTCGACGATTAACTTGTAAATTTGTATACGGATATTAGTATTGTATTGTGTACAATTGTTACGCGCTGGGATTCGGGATAAATAAAATTCTACCAAAGTACAACTAAAAACTGTATCCAACACTTAGAACACTTCAAACACTTCACAAACACTTTGAAGTTCTCAGTTCGCTTCTTCCTCTTCGCTTCAGGTGATCCGTTCGCTGTTTCCGTTCTGATTACTGACTGACTGCGTTCCATCTCTGCAACGCTTTTATAGCCGATACCACATTCTTAGAATTATCGAGAATATTCCATACATCTCCATTATTGTGTTTCCGCTATCTGACAATAGATGGCGTTGTATTTCTCGAGCGTTCTAGGTGCTACTAGGTCCTTCGATATTCGTTCGACTATTCGGCGATAGATGGCGTTACTATTACCAGCGTAACAATATAAAATTTGCCATGATATCCTGAACACAAAAATTTAAATAAAAAGTATTCATTTAAATTTTTAGTTCGGGTTCATATTAAAGTGCTTTTTTTTCTTTAGACATTAAACTAAAAGTTATTGTAGGTAAATTAATATTTTTAGAGT